TTTTTAAATATTTTTTAAGATTATTTTTTACGTATTTTTTTCTGATATATCTTTTGATCAGGTCGGTGAAGTTGGCCCCACAATTTTTGATTTTCAATAGTTTATCAGTTGGTGTGATTAGTACCCGATTTGTACCGATTTGTACCGTTTTCAGTTCGATTTGTACTATCACCGTTTTTGAGATATTCAAAGAACAAAATGGGGGGCTAACTTCACGACAGCCCCCCAACTTTTGAACTTATAAATAAAAAGTGAATAGGTCGATAGAGAATGATTTGTACCGACTTGTACAGTTTTCAGTTCGATTTGTACCATCACCGTTTTGCAGCTATTGACCGTTGAAAATATGGCGCCAAAAATAAAAAACACTCAACATTTATTTTTTTTTAAATTTTTTTAACGTACAACGGTAGAGAATTTTTTCTCTTCCTAATGATTACTCAAATTAAGCTTTATCTTCATTATTTATTTTGGAAATCAAATTTTAAACCTTATATTATAGCGTGAAGTTAGCCCCCCGATATTTAAAATTTGAGATTTTTCAAATTTTTAAAACGGGATTGATTTGTAACCGATTTGTACCGTTTCAATGATTTGTACCATTACAGTTTTTCAGCTATTGACCGTTAAAGATATGGCGCCAAAAATAAAAAACATTCAACATTTATTTTTTTAAAAAATTTTTTAACGTACAACGGTAGAGAATTTTTTCTCTTCCTAATGATGCCTCAAATTAAGCTATCTTCATTATTTATTTCGGAAATCAAATTTTAAACCTTATATTATAGCGTGAAGTTAGCCCCCCCCCCCCGATATTCAAAATTTGAGATTTCAAATTTTTAAAACGGGATTGATTTGTACCGATTTACCGTTTCAAACTCGTTTTGTACCATTACCGTTTTCCAGCTATTGACCGTTAAATAATGGCGCCAAAAATAAAAAACACTCAAAATTAATTTTTTTTAAAAATTAATGAAGATAAAGCTTAATTTGAGGCATCATTAGGAAGAGAAAAAAATTCTCTACGGTTGTACGTTTAAAAACTTTTAAAAAAAATAAATTTTGAGTGTTATTTATTTATGGCGCCATATCTTTAACGGTCAATAGCTGGAAAACGGTAATGGTACAAATCGAGTTTGAAACGGTACAAATCGGGTACAAATCAATCCCGTTTTAAAAATTTGAAAAATCTAAAATTTTGAATATCGAGGGAGGGGGGCTAACTTCACGCTATAATATAAGGTTTAAAATTTGATTTCCGAAATAAATAATAAAGATAGAGCTTAATTTGATGCATCATTAGGAAGAGAAAAAAATTCTCTACCGTTGTACGTTAAAAAATATTTTAAAAAAATAAATGTTGAGTGTTTTTTATTTTTGGCACCATATCTTTAACGGTCAATAGCTGGAAAACGGTAATGGTACAAAACGAGTTTGAAACGGTACAAATCGGTACAAATCGGGTACAAATCAATCCCGTTTAAAAAATTTGTAAAATCTCAAATTTTGAATATCGAGGGGGGGGGGGCTAACTTCACGCTATAATATAAGGTTTAAAATTTGATTTCCGAATTAAATAATGAAGATAAAGCTTAATTTGAGGCATCATACGGAAGAGAAAAAAATTTTCTACCGTTGTACGTTAAAAAAATTAAAAAATAAATGTTGAGTGTTTTTAATTTTTGGCGCCATATCTTTAACGGTCAATAGCTGGAAAACGGTTATGGTACAAATCGAGTTTGAAACGGTACAAATCGGGTACAAATCAATCCCGGTTAAAAAATTTGTAAAATCTCAAATTTTGAATATCGGGGGGAGGGGAGGTTAACTTCACGCTATAATATAAGGTTTAAAATTTTATTTCCGAAATAAATAATAAAGATAGAGCTTAATTTGATGCATCGTTAGGAAGAGAAAAAAATTCTTTACCGTTGTACGTTTGAGTGTTTTTTATTTTTGGCGCCATATCTTTAACGGTCAATAGCTGTAAAACGGTAATGGTACAAAACGAGTTTGAAACGGTACAAATCGGTACAAATCGGGTACAAATCAATCCCGTTTAAAAAATTTGAAAAATCTCAAATTTTGAATATTGGGGGGGGGGCTAACTTCACGCTATAATATAAGGTTTAAAATTTGATTTCCGAAATAAATAATGAAGATAAAGCTTAATTTGAGGCATCATACGGAAGAGAAAAAAATTCTCTACCGTTGTACGTTAAAAAAATTTTTAAAAAATAAATGTTGAGTGTTTTTATTTTTGGCGCCATATCTTTAACGGTCAATAGCTGGAAAACGGTAATGGTACAAATCGAGTTTGAAACGGTACAAATCGGTACAAATCGGGTACAAATCAATCCCGTTTTTTAAATTTAAAAAATCAAATTTTGAATATCGGGGGAGGGGGGCTAACTTCACGCTATAATATAAGGTTTAAAATTTGATTTCCGAAATAAATAATGAAGATAAAGCTTAATTTGAGGCATCATTAGGAAGAGAAAAAAATTCTCTACCGTTGTATGTTAAAAAATTTTTAAAAAAATAAATGTTGAGTGTTTTTTATTTTTGTCGCCATATTTTCAACGGTCAATAGCTGGAAAACGGGGTTCGGGGCCGAAATATTCCCACAGCTGTTTGGAGTCAAATGAAAGAAAGATGGTGAATACAAACAAGACACATTTAACATTTAAATTTAATAAATTTTAAAATATTTATATTATAATTTATGCAATATATATTTATGAATATTTAAATATATCTAAAGTAATATTTAAGTATATATATAAGGTAATATTAAATTATATATAAAGTAATATTTAATAAATAATTATATATATCTAAAGTAATATTTATATACATATATAAAGTAATATTTAAATATATATATGAGGTAATATTAAATTATATATAAAGAAATATTTAAATATAAATAATTAAAATATTTATAGATAATTTATGCAATATATTATAAAATATTTAAATATATCTAAAGTAATATTTAAATATATATATAAAGTAATATTTAAATATAAATATAAGGTAATATTAAATTATATATAAAGTAATATTTAAATATATATATAAAGTAATATTTAAATATATATATAAGGTAATATTAAATTATATATAAAGAAATATTTAAATATAAATAATTAAAATCGTTATATGATAATTTATGCAATATATTATAAAATATTTAAAAAGTAATATTTAAATACATAAATAAAGTATTATTAAAAACCTTAAATATATATAAACTAGTATAAAATAAAATATAGGAAGAATGTATTTAAATTCGCTAAAATAATTGGTTAATTTATAATTAATAAAGTTTTGCCACCATAAAGTTTTTTATGATAAATGATGTAATGATACGAGTTTTCTAAATAAAAAAATGTAACCATAAAGTTTTCTAATATAAAGATTGTTTATTTTATTTTAAATTATTAATTTAATTTTATATAATATATTTTAAAATTTTACATTTTTTTTATCAAACTAAAAAAATCAGGTTTATATAATAATTTTCATATTAATATATAAAAATTTATATAATAAAAATCAATCTACACAATTTATAAAAAAATCAATTTATATCAACATAAAAAAAACAATTTAAAGGTTAGTATTAATCGGTCATATTAACAATAATAATTAATTAATATAAATGATAATTGTTAATAACAGAATGTAGACTATCTGGCTTATATTAATTGTTAGGTATAAAAGATTATTAAAATTTTTTAATTACTTCTAGTGCTGTAAACGTTACTACAAAAAAAGAAACGCATTACAGTTACTCGTTACATCTGAAAAAGGGAACCCGTTACGGTTACCTTAAAAAGAAACGCGCATTGAAGGACTTGTCTTTATCTGAAAATCTTAGTAATTCAGATATGTCATAAGAGTCGTCATATGCAATTATCCTTATTAATATGACTATCTATTAATTTCCTTCTTTCCCATGCTTCCCTTAAAAATGGCTGCAGAGTTTGAAGATTGCCCCCATTTTATTCCATAATATCTTACTTAGAAAATGTAATTTTTAAAATAATTTTAGAGTGTACATCGTCGACATGGACAAATCGGCCAATAGAGGAATCATGCATACACTCCTAAAAAATCGTAGATAACATACAAAACAAAATATTTTGAAAAGATGATGATGGAAATAACAGTCGACCTGGACAAATCGGCCAATGGAGGATTCAGACATACACTCCCAAAAAAAATCGTAGATACCAAGCAAAACAAAATATTTTGAAAAATTTATGTGATTTTTTAAAAGAGAGAAGAGACTTACCTAATTTTCTCTTGGAAAACATATTGTTTCATTTGAATAATATAACTTATTTTTTTATATATCATTTATATAATATTATAATAATTTCTTATCTGTAAATTTAAAAAAAATTTGATAAGCAAAATAATAATTGTAAGATTTGAAATATATAATATTCACTGCTTATAATCACCTCTGAAATAGATATTTTTATGAATAAAATTCAAGGTTACAACGTTAGTAACTACATTACTTTTTTTTACATTACTTTACAGCACAAATTAATATATAAATATTTATATTTTAGAAGGCAGATTTTATAATTTTTATTCTGATCATACTTAGGGTTGAACATCTATCGGTTACCAGATTAATTTATTAATCTATTTAATTAAAACCTATGATTGACCAAGACATATAAAAGTTTAATAATAAATTAATCAATTGTTTTAGTTAAAAAATCAGCAATATATATTCAAAAATGATTATTTGAATAAAATAAGGATTCAAAATTTAAATTTTGTATTTCCTTTATCAATTATCTCCTTCCTTATAATTTTTTAGATGGTACAAAAAAATTTGAATAATAAAATTTTATGTTACAAATTTTATAAATTATGGATTTTCTCAAATGACAATAAAATTTAAAATATCCTTTATTAAAATATAATAAATAGTAATATGACATTTTAAAACAACTACAACTTAATTAATATGGAGAAAAAAAATTTCATAGATGGAAAAGATGTAATCCATTTCACCAATCTTTTCCTCACAGATATAACACCATTCAATCTCAATATAAATATAAACTTTCAATATAATTTTACTTTCCCAAAGAATAATAAATTCAATTTTTATATGTTAGCATTTTTTACAATTAATAATAAAAATATCTAAAAAACAATTGAATTTGTAATAAAATGAAATTTACATTGAAACATATTCACCACCATCCTGATAAATCTAAAGAAGAGCATTATGCAATTATGAATAAACAAAGTACAAATTATCCCCACATCACTGTCTCCAACTTCTTGTGGAGGATTGAACATTTGACTTTCTTCCAACAAGTTCCCAGAAATCCCCACATCACTGTCTCCAACATCTTGTGGAGGATTGAACATTTGACTTTCCTCCAACAAGTTCCCAGAATTCCCCACATCACTGTCTCCAACTTCTTGTCGAGGATTTATCAAAGGAGGCACTAATGTCGTGATTAAGGAAAAATATATTAAGAAAAATTTGATTAAATATTTATAATAAAATTTAAAAATAATTTTGTAAAATACTTCCTCCTCTTCCACTCAAAATAATTATTGTTCTTCTAATGTTCTATTTCTTAGAAAATATAAATATTCCTAATTTTATCCATGTGTTCAAATACTGTTAAAATTATAAAAGATATATGATAAATTTTAGAAAAAAAAATTTGCCATACATCATTAAAACCAATTACCTTGGCCTAGTTCAGAAAAATATATTCTAATAATATAGAATCTTGCTAATACTAAGATAGAATCTTGCAAATACTAAGATAGAATCTTACTAATACTAATATGTAAATATTAATTAAAACCAATTACCTTTGCCTTGAGGTACTGTATTTATATTTGATATTAGCTTTTAAGGTTTAGTCTTTATTTTATAATTTTCTACAAAAATGGTATGTAAATAGCTTTTGAGGTTTAGTCTTTATTTTATAATTTTCTACAAAAATGGTATATAAATAGCTTTTGAGGTTTAGTTTTTATTTTATAATTTTCTACAAAAATGGTATGTAAATAGCTTTTGAGGTTTAGTCTTTATTTTATAATTTTCTACAAAAATGGTATATAAATAGCTTTTGAGGTTTAGTTTTTATTTTATAATTTTCTACAAAAATGGTATATAAATAGCTTTTGAGGTTTAGTTTTTATTTTATAATTTTCTACAAAAATGGTATGTAAATAGCTTTTAAGGTTCAGTCTTTATTTTATAATTTTCTACAAAAATGGTATATAAATAGCTTTTGAGGTTTAGTCTTTATTTTATAATTTTCTACAAAAATGGTATGTAAATAGCTTTTGAGGTTGTCTTTATTTTATAATTTTCTACAAAAATGGTATGTAAATATCTTTTGAGGTTTAGTCTTTATTTTATTTTCTACAAAAACGGTATGTAAATAGCTTTTGAGGTTTAGTCTATTTTATAATTTTCTACAAAAATGTGTATGTAAATATTAATTAAAACCAATTACCTTTGCCTTGAGGTACTGTATTTATATTTAATATTAGCTTGGTTTCGTCTTAATTTTAGAATTTTCTACAAAAATGTGTATGTAAATATTAATTAAAACCAATTACCTTTGCCTTGAGGTACTTTATTTATAATTTTAGAATTTTCTTGGCTTTATTTATGTCTACCCTATAAATGTAAGGATGCGAAAAAGATTCCGATTCCAAGCGCCGATATTAATTTTAGAATTTTCTACAAAAATATAATTTTATAATTTTAGGAAAAATAATTTGCCATTTGACTCCAAATGGTTTGATGACAAAAGAAAGAAAAATGAATCGGACCGATACCGGAAAACGGTGATGGTACAAGTACAAATCATTCTCTATCGACCTATTCCCTTTTTATTTTTAAGTCAAAAGTTTGAGGGCTGTCGTGAAATTGGCCCCCCCATTTTGTTCTTTGAATATCTCAAAAACGGTGATGGTACAAATCGAACTGAAAACGGTACAAATCGGGTACTAATCACACCAACTGTTAAACTATTAAAAATAAAAAATTGTGGGGCCAACTTCACGGACCTCTTTTGATCGCTAATCTTTAATATTCTTTTTAAATATTTTTTAAGATTATTTTTTAAGTATTTTTTCCTGATATATCTTTTGATCGCTAATTTTTAATATTATTTTTAAATATTTTTTAAGATTATTTTATATACTTTTTTCTGATATATCTTTTGATCACTAATTTTTAATATTATTTTTAAATATTTTTTAAGATTATTTTTTACGTATCTTTTTCCCTCTTTTGATCGCTAATTTTTTAGGTAAAAATATTAACATGTTATATAAAAATCTCTTATCGTTATTTTTGAATTTTTTAAATTAAATAGGTAAAAATATATATTGTAAAGATATAAAATTAAAATTTCAGTAAAGATGTACCATAAGTGACAATTATAATAATCGTTATTTTTGAATTTTTTGATATTTTTTTAAGTAAATAGGTAAAAATATATATTGTAAACAAAAAAAATTAAAATTTCAGTACAGATGTACCATAGAATAGTGACAATTGTCATACTCGTTATTTTTGAACTTTTTTGAGTTTTTTTAAAGTAAATAGGTAAAAATATATATTGTAAACAAGTTAAATTAAAATTTCAGGGAAGATGTACCATAGAAAATTGACAATTGTCATAAACGTTATTTTTGAACTTTTTTGAGTTTTTTTAAAGCAAATAGGTAAAAATATATATTGTAAACAAGTTAAATTAAAATCTCAGTGAAGAGATGTATCATAGAAAAGTGACAATTGTCATAAACGTTATTTTTGAACTTTTTTGAGTTTTTTTAAAGTAAATAGGTAAAAATATATATTGTAAACAAGACAAATTAAAATTTCAGTGCAGATGTACCATAGTAAAGTGACAATTGTCATTCTCGTTATTTTTGAACTTTTTTGAGTTTTTCTAAAGTAAATAGGTAAAAATAAATATTGTAAACAAGTTAAATTAAAATTTCAGTGAAGATGTACCATAGAAAAGTGACAATTGCCATAAACGTTATTTTTGAACTTTTTTGAGTATTTTAAAAGTAAATAAGTAAAAATATATATTGTAAACAAGTTAAATTAAAATTTCAGTGAAGATGTACCATAGAAAAGTGACAATTGTCATAATCGTTATTTTTGAACTTTTTTAAAGTAAATAGGTAAAAATATGTTTTGTAAACATGTTAAATTAATATTTCAGTGGAAGTGTACTATAGAAAAGTGGCAATTGTCATAATCATTTATTTTGAACTTTCTTGAATTTTTTTGAAGTAAATAGGTAAAAATATATATTGTAAACAAGTTAAATTAAATATAGAAAAGTGGCAATTATCGTAATCGTTATTTTTGAACTTTTTTGAATTTTTTTAAAATAAATAGCAAAAAATATCTATTTTAAACAAATTAAATTAAAATTTCAATGAAGATGTACCATAGAAAAGTGACAATTGTCATATCGTTATAAACAAAATTCCTTAATTCGCTTTTAATTATTATAAATCAAAATTAATGATGAGTTTTTTTCCTGCAAATCGTTCCTTGATTTTTTAAAATCTCTACATATAAAAATTAGTGTTTTGCATATAATCTTAGTTATTGTTTAAAATATTCCAATAAACTTGTAATTTTCGATAGTTCATTAAAGTGAATATATATCTAAAATATATTTATTTATAGATTTTTAATAAATATGTCAAAGATATTATAGTTAGTTGATATACAAAATAACCTATATTTAGTAAACATATTTAGAAAAAGTAAATTAATTTAAAATTAATTATACATATGCGAGCTATTATTCATTATGTTAAAAACCTTTCTGATTGCTATGAAGAGTAAAGTTTAATTATAATAGTGGAATTTTTATTATTTTAGTCATTAATACAATCATAATAAATCTCACCGAAATTTTTATATCTAGAGTTTTTATAAAATCAAGGAATGATTTGTAGGAAAAAAACTCATCATTAATTTTGATTATAATAATTAAAAGCGAATTAAGGAATTTTGTTTATAACTATATGACAATTGTCACTTTTTATGTTTAATTTAAGTTGTTTACAATATATATTTTTACCTATTACTTTAAAAAAATTCAAAAAAGTTCAAAAATAACGATTATGATAATTGTCACTTTTCTATGGTACATCTTCATTGAAATTTTAATTTATCTTGTTTACAATATATATTTTTACCTATTTACTTCAAAAAGTTCAAAAATAACGATTATGACAATTGTCACTTTTCTATGGTATATCTTCACTGAAATTTTAATTTAACTTGTTTACAATATATATTTTTAGCTATTTATTTGTAAAAAATTCACAAAGTTCAAAAATAAAGATTATGAGAATTGTCACTTTTCTATGGTACATCTTCACTGAAATTTTAATTTAACTTGAATATAGATTTTTACCTATTTACTTTAAAAGAACTCAAAAAAGTTCAAAAATAACGATTATCGAAATAAAGTTTTTGTTTTTGTGGATTTTTTTTTAAAATTAAAAATGGTATAGTTGTAGTATTACTTTTTTTTAAAAATTAATTTAGTGTGATATAAAATTAGTTTTTGACAATTTAAAAAACTATATATGTATTTTTGTATTTATCGCAAAAATTGTGGTATGTACATGTTGTACCTCGGATTTTATGTAATAATAAATAATTATTTATTTTTTTATTATACAATTAATCATTTATTTTTTATTATATAATTAATTATTTATTTTAAAAAATAACAACTTAGTTGATATTGATTAAGATACTTTTATTTATTTAATTGGAATTAGACGCTATTACACAATACAGTTTTTTTAATATTTTCTTTATTTTATTTTATTTTTCAAACAAAATTAAAACACATAAATTTCTAATCAATTATTAATTATATAATAAAAAATAGATAATTATTTATTATTATAATATAACATAATAAAATAATATTTTAATTTGGAAATCTTCAATAACCTTGGATGCTTGCTAATTCATGTGTGACAAATTTCGACTTGATTTTTTGGGAGAAAATAAAATAAACTTGTTTTAAGACAGTTTTTTATGCATATTCTAAATCCGCTGTCAGTTACTTTCTAGCATGTCAGGTTTTTTATTTATTTTAGGTTAAAGTGGCCAAAAAGGTCATTAGCACTTTTTGAAGGTTTATAACTTCGGTTCTAATGATCCCTACAACTAAAAAAATATCTTAATTTTTGCAGCAAACCTTCCTTATTATTATTATACATTTTTTTTTATAAAATCATTTCTCAATTTTTAAACAACCTATATTTTTTAAATTTACATTTATAATATAAAATCTTTTTTAATATAGCTTACATTTAATATATTTATTTATTGTGGCTTTCGTTCTCTTCGCTACACAAAATCCAATTTAAAAAAAAAATTAAAGAAAGAAATTAAGAAATTAAATGTTTATGAAAAATTAAGCAAGAAAAAAAATAATTCTTCTCCTTTCTTCCTACTCGTTATTTGGCATTATTATTTATTGCCCATACTACGGGTTCAAGATACTCCATTGGAAAATCATATATTTAAATATAAATTGATTAAAAAAACAAATATTCTTAAATACATCTAAAAAAGATAAATATTAATAAAAATATGAAAAAATTACCAATTATTGCATTTTAAATGAATTTTGCTTCAAAAATGCTCAATTCAAAAAGAGTACAAATTAAAAAAGTGGGTACAGATATCTGATTTTGGTATAAATTGATCATAAGTGCATAAAATATTACTTAATACAACTAAAAAAGATAAATATTACCTTAATTTTGCTTTAAAAATGCTTTGTGCTTAGAAAATTCAATATAAGTGTACAAATTAAAAAGTTCGAAAATATCTCTACCGACTTTTTTAATTTATAGATTTTGGTTGAATTTTCATGGCATAGAGTACTTTGAAACATAATTAGAATTAATATATAATCTTGAGCATATTTGAAGCAAAATTATTTAAAATTTATCTTCTAAAAAATTAATAATTTTGAAAGTAATTTAAATTGAAAACTTAAAACCCCCAAAACGAAATTCTTTACCATTTTTCTCAAGTGGATTTTATAGCGAAACTTTTATCGCGAATCCATAATAGCGAATACTATTCCGCGAATGCAATATCGCGAAACAAATATCGCGAATTTTTTAAAGCGAAACCTTTATCGCGAAACCTTTATAGCGAAACCTTTAAAGCGAATACATTACCGCGAAACTTTAATCGCGAATCAATAATCGTGAAAATTTTATAGCGAAGTTATTATCGCGAAACCCAAATCGCGAAGACAATGTAGCGACAATTATTTCGCGAAACATATCGCGAAGATATTATAGAGAATTTAATATCGCGATAATTGCTAATTATGACTAATTTATTTTGAATCATTTTTTTATAATTATATTATTTGAATAATATTTTTTTAATCAACATAGTTTGTAATTTTCTTATAACCTTAAAATTTTTTTACAATGATTAATTAACTTAGATCTGGTTTATGAAATTTGTTATTGAAATACACTTTTTTCGCTATCCTATCCTTTCCTTCGAAGTTCTTATTTTATAATAATCGCGCACAAGGAACTCAGCTTTATCAATATATTAATCATTGAGTTTATTAGTTAAATCTTGATATTTATTGGCGAAATTGATATCTGGGTGGTTCCATGTCAATTCAGCGAAACTTTTATCGCGAAACAGTTTTTCGCGAAACTTTTATCGCGACTGTCGTTTATCGCGAATGGATTTTTTAGCGAAACTTTTATCGCGAATCAATAAT